CAGATACTTTGGTTTATTTGACTTTGGAACTTTTCATTTGATTCCTAAACATATACAAGATCAAACTTGTCCTATACAATTTTAATGAAATCCTTTTAAAACCATAACAGGTAGAATTATTGATATAAAGTTAAAACATATAAATGGTTAACCACTCATTTATTTGTCCATCTGGAGAATGAGGTGTTCTGGATCATTGAAATTCTTGGATTACTAAAGATTACCCTGTCTAATAAAAGAGTAATATGCAAATTAAACATCACTCTGATACACCCACCAGCCAATCAGGAGTGGTTATGCAAATTAACCAAACCAAGGTGGCTGCAGCCATGGAGAGAGCAGGAGGGAGGCTTGGGTTTCCCAAGCAATGGAGGAAGCCAAGCTTTCTGCACACCCTGGTTGGCCCAGGACTCCACTTAAGGCTACAAAGTTTCAATTATAGAAGGTAAATCCCAAGAAAAATGGTGGCAATCACGGAGCTGGAGACAGCAGGCTAGGGTTGCCTCTGGCAATGAAGGAAGCCAAACTTTCCACCTACCCTGGCCAGTGTAGGCCTCCACGCCAGGCTACAAAGTTTCAATTGTAGAAGATACATAAAACAAAACAGAAATGGTGGCAGCCAGAATGAGCAGGGGGCTTGGCTCTGCTCCAGGCTACAAAGTTTAAATAGAAGGTAAATAAATTCCAGATTCCAGGGCCTCTTCTTAGCTTGCTGGGGGGCATCGCTGGCCTGCAAACCACCCCTGGCCCCTCGCCCAGGCCACCCCATGCCCTAAGGGAATCCCACCCTTCAGGGCAAACCAGATGGCCCACACCCATGCACCAGGCCTCTATCTTATCTAATAAAAGGGTAATATGCAGATTGACCATCACTCCAATACAGAAGATCAAGATAGCTACCCCCATGTGGTCAAAGATCCTGCCCTCATGTGGATAGAAGATGGCCATCACAAGATGACCAGCAAGATACGGCAGTTGGGAGGGACCAGGACTGCAAGGGAGGGCATTTAGGGGTGAGCAGGCTGGCAAAGAAGGGAAGTTTGGGGCAAACAGGCTGGCAGGGGAGTAGTTAGACATCAATAAGGCTGGCAGGGCAGTGGTTTGCGGGTGATCAGACTGGCAGGCAGAAGTGATTAGGGGCAATTAGGAAGGCAGGCAGGTGAGCAGTTGGGAGCCAGCAGTGCTAGATTGTGAGAGGGATGTCAGACTGCCCATTTAGGGGTCCCAGACTAGAGAGGGTGCAGGCTGGGCTAAGGAACCCTCCCCACCCCTGTGCATAAATTTTGTGCATCTGGGCCTTTAGTCCTTTCATATTATGAAATAGGTATCATTTTGAAATGTAATTAGTATTTTTCTGACTTCTTATAAAAATTATACTGAACATGCTTTACTCTTTCTTGATAACTTAGACATTATTATGAGCACTAGTTATTGTACTCTTCTATAATGTTATACTCTGCTATAATTGTGCCCTTAGGAGCTATTATGATGGATATGAATTCTTGGATCTATATTAAAAGACCATATATTCTTAAGCTCTTTAAGTTCTGAATTTTCTGTGTCATTTTCTTTGGCTTTCTGTGCTGGCAGTTTTCATGACTCAGTGTTTATAGTTATTGTGCCTCTAAAAGTGTTTCTGCTTTCTCGTCATCCATGATTTGCTAAGTAGTGGGAATCAAATAGCCAAGCTTGTTAGAGTTCTTTATCAAAAGTCAATTTTCTATCAGCAAAGGTACAGAAACTTTTCAAAAGCACAACTCGTCAGTTGAGAGACTTTTTCAATACCTTATGGACATTTCATGGTACTCTTCTGGAGTGCTTATATTTTTAATTTAATAAATATTTATTGTTCAGATTACCACAATTGTTCCTCTTTTTTTGCCCATATCTCTCCTCTACCCAGTTACCACCCCAGCCTCTGCCTTTACCCTGCCACTGTCCTCATCCATAGGTGTACGATTTTTGTCCAGGCTCTTCCCACATGCCCAAAAACCCCTTTTCCCTGAGAAGTGTCAGTTCACTCTCTTTCTATGCCTCTGATTCTATTATATTCACCAGTTTATTCTGTTCATCAGATTTATCATTGACTTTATTTTTAGATTCACTTGTTGATAGATATGTATTTGTTATTCATAATTTTTATCTTAACATTTTTTCTTCTTCTTCCTCTTAAAAAAATGCCTTTCAGCATTTCATGTAATTTTGATTTGGTGGTGATGGACTCCTTTAGTTTTTATCTGTGAAGCTCTTTTTCTGATCTTCCATTCTGAATGATAGCTTCGCTGGGTAGAGTAATCTTGGTTGTAGGTTCTTGCTATTCATCACTTTGAATATTTCTTGCCACTCCCATCAGGTCTGCATAGTTTATGTTGAGAAATTTTCTGACAGTCTTATGGGTGCGCCCTTGTAGGTAACTCTTTTTCTCTTGCTGCTTTTAATATTCTATCTTTGTCTTTGTTCTTGGCATTCTAATTATGATGTATTTTGGTGTGGTTCTCTTCGGATTCCTTTGTTTGGGGTTCTGTGTGCTTCCTGGACTTGTAAGTCTATTTCTTTCATCAGGTGGGGGAAGTTTTTGGTCATTATTTCTTCAAATAGGTTTTCAGTAACTTGCTCTCTCTCTTGTTCTGGCATCCTCATAATTCTGATGTTGTTACGCTTGAGGTTGGCCCAGAGGCTCCTTACACTATCTTTATATTTTTGGATTCTTTTTTCTTTTTTCTTTTCTGGTTGTGTGTTTTTTGCTTCTTTGTATTTCAAATCTTTGACTTTATTCTTGAGATCCTCTAGTCGGCTGTTAGATCTCTGTATAATATTTTTTTTTATTTCAGTCAGTGTATGCTTAATTTCTAGTTGGTCCCTTTTCATATCCTAGAGGGTCTCCCTAAATTTATTAGCCTTTTCTAGAAAATTCTTAAAAAAACCTTATAACCGTGGTTTTGAACTCTATATCCAATCATTTGCTTTCCTCCATTTCTTTCATTTGTGATCTGTTTCTTTGTCTCCACATTTTCTCTTGCTTCCCTGAGTTGATAGAGTGGCTTTGTGTGCTAGGTCTCCTATAGGGCCCAGTGGCTCAGCCTCCCCAGTTACCTGAGGTGGACACTCTTGGTGTACCTCTTTGTGGGCTGTCTTCACAGTCTTATAGTTAATCCTTGATTGTTGTTGGTATCACTGGGAGGAATTGACCTTCAGGCCAATTGGCTATGAGGATCAGCTGTGTCTATGCTGGGAGAAATTCTGTGCTGGAAATATCCTTATGGGAGAAGACTTGCAAAAGCCTCTGTGTTCATCTTGGATGGGGCAGAGGCTCAGGACGGAGCAGAAAGCATTGGTTTCCATCAGCTCTGCCCTAATAAACCCCTGTGTCTCAGTGTCCGGTGGTAATCACTGCAATCACCTCTGAAAGGAAAGTGGTCATTGGATTCCACCCACTGCCAGACAGCCCAGTTCCTCCCTGAATGAGTCTGGGTCCCCAGAGTCTCATCCGGAACTGAAGGTCAGTGCAGTTGGGAGCTTTTCTCTCCCTCCCGCTTGAGAAAGCCATCCATGTACTCAGTCGCCCGCCCTCTCCACATGTGTGCCTTGGTACCACTGCCTTCCGCAGCTCCTCTGAGTCTCAGTGTGATTTTCTCTTTCCTGACATTCCAGTTTCACCCTGTATGAGTCTGGGTCCCCAGATTTTTGCCTGGACCTGGAGTTCAGCACAGTTGGCAGTTTGTCTCCCTCCGGCTTGAGAAAGCCAGCCACACACTCAGTTGGCAGCCCTCTCTATGTGTGCATGCCTCAATTCCTCTGCCTCCTGCAGCTGCTCTGAGACTCAGTGAGATTTTATCTTTCTTTCTAGTTGTAAGATTTCCACTCATCCAGCCTTTCTGTGGTTCTGGATGATGTCCATTTTGTCTTTTAGTTGTAGTTTTGAAATTGTTGTGCAAGGCAGCAGTTTAGGTGTTTACCTATGCCATCATCTTGGTTTCTCCTGGAGTGCTGATTTTGCCAGAAGATAAGCCTCTTGGGCAATAGAATCATGCTAAGTAGACTGAAAAGTTCACTTTTTATTAAAGCACGATGTTATTCTTAGTCACTTACCTTAAATAGTAATTATACTGTAAACCTATTTTTACTGTATAGTGTGGCAAGATTAGACTTAAAGTGTATATTAATTGCAGTACTGATTGCTAAAACTTATTCTTTTATTTACTGGAATTCATTGTCTCCAGTTTTGGAATATTTGCTATTTAGTTGATATTTTCTTTACTACCATGAGGGGCTGTGTGTGCCCTGAACATCTTTGTAGTGCTTTGGCCTGCAAGTTTTTCAGGGTCCAAACAGGTGTGCCATACTCCCAGAAAGCCTGATGTGTGCAAATACTGATTTGTCAAAATCAGTGAATTATGTGTAGGAAAACTTTCAAGTCAAATTTAAACCCATTTAATAATGTGCTACACGACCATATTTTAAATTGCTTCCTATATTTCACCAAATTTGTAATGAAGTGTTAATAACACTTCTCTCATGAAAATGAGGTACATCTATTGCATATGTGTCACGGTTAAGGTAGAAAATTAGAGCTGTTTCTATAAAATGGAACAAGTAGCAAATCTATTAATTATAATCTTATTTATACTGATACAAAATTATAATTATTTGTCTAAACTAAGTCCTCTTTGCTTCCTTAGAAGCATCATTGCCTAGCTCAGTGAGAAATTATACACTTGAATTTCACACATGGAGGTCATTTGTTACACAGATTTCCAATAGATACCAGGCTAATAAAATTCTGAGAAAATGGCAGTTATGATAATGTTGCAGCAGATTTGCCTGTTAAATGTTTATCCTTCAAGTAGAACTATAGACAGATGCCTAATTAATGGAATTGTGAACAGTGGTTTCCTATTTAAAACATTATTCAAGTTATATCTTCATCGATAAGGGATATGTCTTTTGTTACCTTTGATTCATTTAACTAATGTTTGAATTGTATGTGTTCTTCCTTATAGGAATCTCAACATCTGACTCCTCCAGGATTTACCTTACAAAGTAGGTGTTTTTTTAAAAAAAAATATTTGTCCATATTTCATGCCCTCACCTCCCTCTCCCTCTTCTCTTTTCCACCTAATGTCAATGAAATACAAAGTAACAATAACAAAAGTTATATTGTGATATATCTAATTTGTTTCTTTTTTATCTTTTATTAATGGAAGGATGCTCTGAAAAAGTATAACTGGAAGGGCTGAACGTTTGAAGACAAATTTAATTTAGAATAATCACTTGACAGTAGAAAACATGGATAGTAATTATATTTGCTCTTTCTTTTCAGAGTGGAACGACCCAACCAGCAGAGCTTCTACAAAGTCAGTATTGCTAAAGTCGTGAGTACTTGTGTTTCCAAAATAGGCTTCTTTAGGGACATTTGGCAATGAAATGGTGCCTCAGTGCTAAGTGAATTTTTTCCTCTCTTCTGCTCCTTGAAAATATGAACCTTAGCTCATAATAATATGGTGTTTGGTTAGAGGTGAGAATGAGATTTACCATGATAAGTAAGTAACAGTAAAAATGAGTGATATCACCACTAGACCCTTAATGATATAGACACAGGCTGGGTAAATACTTGGGTTATGAAAACAACCATGTCTATTGACTAGTTGTTTGAGCATTGTATAATTTCAGTTATAGAAAGTATATGCAATATTCAGCCACCACTAATGATAGAGAAAAGACCTCTAAGCAGCCATGATTATTCATGACATATTGAGTCGATTGCTATGGCCATTCATCTTTAGAATTCACCATTTGTAGGTCATATGAAGACAGTATGTTAAAGCCAAACTAAGACAGTCAGGAAGAGATTACACAGTAATAGGTTAAAGTTCAAAAGCCAAAGCCCTGAAATTCACTCAGTACTGTCTTCATTTTTTATTAATGTTAACTGAAGGAGGGATATGGAGAAACCAGTTTTCTCAGATAAACTATTGTAGATTTTGTAACATCCATTGTCCAAGATTATTTTTTTCACAACTCCTTTTACTCCTAATAATCAACAATAGGAGTCAATTTTTCAGTGTGAGTAACAGTTGATAATATCACATCAATACAGTGCCTTTATAAAAATACATCACCTAGTTAGAAATTTTATGAGTCATCCTATATAATGAAAGCCTAATATGCTAAGTGCCCAGTCATCTGGTCATCCATTCAACCAACCAAAGCATACTTTGCTAATGATATGCTAAGGCTACTCAACTGCTTACTATGACGTGCACTGATCACCAGAGGGCAGAAAGTTGACAAGTTGACCATTCACTATGATGTGCATTGACCACCAGGGGGGCAGAAATTCTGACTGGTAGGTTAACTTGCTGCTGGGTTCTGGCTGATTGGGACTGAGTGAAATGGGCCAGACATGCCCTGGAGCCCTCCCATGGTCTCTCCCTGACAGGCCAACCTTCTGCATCCTCCCATCCCCAATCATGCACCAGTGAGGTCCCTCGGCATGGCCTGTGCCTTCTAGCAATCTTGGCTGAGGGATCCCCTTCCTCTGAGGGCACGAATTTCATGCATCGGGCCTCTAGCCTTAAATAAGAACAGATAAAATATATTTGATGGCTCTGAGACACATTTTCAGACAACATCCATGAACTCAAAGGTATCCATCTAGTCAATCCTTTATTTCAGTTAATTTTGTGAGTGCTATTAAAAAGATGGCTGCTCCAAATAACCAGTTCTTTAGTTAGACTTGGTTATTAGCTTCTGGTCTCTGACCAGTTGGAAACCATCCATACACCCTTTTAATCAAGCAAATCCTGTTTTAAACCATGTTGTTGAGAATTTCTAGAGTTTCCATAAATGCCCAATATAAAGGTGTATGTTCTTTTATTGCCATAGAACCAGTTCCCCCACTTATGGTATTAGCAACAGGTTTGAAAACATCCCAGTCATTGACCCAGAGAATTGATGAAAGATCTAATGGAAACAGACTAGTTGTATCCAGATTTAGTTTATTTGTGGGTGATGAGTATGCATACTACATGAACAATTCCTTGGAACACTAGTTAGGAGGAAAGGAATACTACTACTACAGGAATGCCAGAAGTCTCATATAATAATCATTGTTCTATTAAGCACATGTGCCAGGCTATGCCCAAGGTCCATGCCAGGTACTTTTATATGCCTCACCCTATTACACTTGCCAGCCATCCTGGAGGGACTCCAAATGATTTCCATTTTACAGATGAGAAAGTGGAAGCTAGAATACAACCCCTCCACATGAAATGTGCATTGTCTAGTGTGAAGACAAACTGACCATACACATTTATCTTAAAAGGACATTTTGGCTATGAGAACACAGAAGGACCAAGTAAGGTACATTGCTCTCTGATGGGAAAACTTGAAAGCAGGCTGAAAGCTGTGTAGTCTCAAAGCCACCTCTCTTCCCACCAAGCTGCCCTTCCTCATGGGATCTGATGGGTTCAGGGATTTGCTATACCCCATTTAACCTTTTAAAAATGGAGATAACCTTCAAATGGATTTGTAGAGATGAAGTTGGTAGAAAGGAGTCCCATAAGAATTTATACCTCTTTGTTTTAGATGATACAAAATCAAGTCAAAATTTTTTTCAAATAAAGCGTTATTTATAAACTTTTCTCTATGTTGTCTGAAGATTTCATTACCATTGAGAATAGAAAGATTATGAGAATGTTTTACAGTTTGTTATAACCAATAACAAGCCTCACATTATTTCCTAGATGAATTTTGAAAATTTTTACCTTCAAAAAAGTTCTTCACATTCATTACAATCTTGACCATTTACATATATAAAATCCTAAGCATAAGTTTATCTTCTTCATTATTCAATCAGGCTAAAGCAGGCTAGAAAGCAAACATTTTTTATAATAAGAGGCCATCTAAGAAAAACAGCAGAAAATTCCAAACAGCAGTTTTTTACAAAATAGGGATTTTCCTTCTCATTGGGAGGACTAAGCGCTGCTCTGGCCTTTGCTATCCCTTTTATTGAGACTATAGGATATACCCATAGCCCTTGGGCAGGAAACTCCAATAATAGAAATTTACATAAGACAAACAGGTGGAGGCTGCTTTAGTTCACAATGTTTCAACTAAGCAGTGAGCGAACTAGCTCTGACCTTTCAGAGCAATGAAGGTTGTTGACAATGACCAGTTTCTGGCAGTACTCATCATTTTGGTTTATCAAAGCAAGACGAAACTCTCTTGATAAATGGGCAATCTCGGTGACTTTCACTGGTTGCAGCCATTCTGATTTTCAAACTGAGACGTGAGCCAATTCTAGCTTTTAATCTGCCTGGCATCTCAGAGCTTGCCAACTTTTCCTAAGGACTTAATATACTTTTGAAAGTTCTCCATCACATCAGGGACAGCCACCTGGAAGCAGAGAAAACAAAATTTGGCAGTCTGTTCAAGCAGTGAATTAAAGGTAATTCACAGTTTGAAATGAATCAGCATGATGTTCTTAAGAAAAGTAATTAGACATCAAGAGGTTTTATTTTGAGTATTGTATATCGGCTAATGTGACAACAAGCAATATTGGTATTTGGAATGTTCACAACAAGAAGCACTGAAACTGCTGGTATTTGACAGGTGCCAAGATTGAAAACGGGCTCCTTCAATGGGAGCTGTGGATTTCCACTTTCATTATAAAGGCTGAAAACATAGATGTTTTTGTTCAGGTAGCATAAATCTTGGAAGATCAGATTTCATTTCTTGTGATGTTCTTCATGTGCCCAAGATTCTGTAGATTTTGAGACACCTTTGTAATTAGAAGCACATGTCTTTTTCTCTCAGGGAAAATCAAGTATTTCTTCTACCTGATTTGCATCCATGTTTATATTCATTCATTCACACTTTCATTTCTTTCAACAAAAATTAATTATGCCCCTATTGTTTGTAAGGCTCTAAACAAGGCACTATGGTAAGCCAGGGTGAAACACCACACATCATCCCCTCAAGGAACTCACAATTAGGGAAGTTTAGATACCTCAACAAACTCATATTTATTGAATGCCTACTATGTGCTAGGACCTTTCTCTGTTTACAACAAGCTCACAGTAATCACTTCTATTATATTCTATAGTAACAGAAACTGAAATTCAGCGACATTGAGTTGCCCAAAGGGCCACAGTAACAAAGCTAGAACAGGACAGACTCGGAGGGTATGGTCTTAACCTGAAAAATAGAGAGAGAGAGAGAGAGAGAGAGAGAGAGAGAGAGAGAGAGAGAGAGAGAGAGAGAGAGAGAGAGAGATTGATTTATGGGCACTTTGGAGATAGTCCTACTGATTTGAAGTCAGGTGTTATCTTGCCCTGATGTTAAGCCAAAGTGGACAACCACAATGGAGGTGACAATGGTCTCTGTCATTTTGGTTTAGGTCAGGAAAATATTATATCTGAATACTGTCACTGAGTTAGGTCTTGTTATACTGCACATGCCAATGTAACATTCTGTAAGCAAGTTCCATCCTCAGCTCAGGGCCTTTAGCCAGATTGTGTCACTATGCCTATAACATGCTCCCTTTGGGGAAGCAGAGGATCCATGACTGAAAGGAACTTATACCACCATGTAAGATCTCTATAAGGTTGATTTCAGTGGCATGTGATACAAACAACATCCTGCTCAAAAAATATCCATTTTGCCATATTGAATTGAAAAAAAAGAGAAATGATATTTGGGTCTGTTTCTGTTAGAGGTTCATCCATGAACTTTCATGATTATCAAACTCTTTGATAATTGGAAACTTGCTTTATATCCTCTAACAAATATCCCTGATGTTATCAACCAATGGCTTATTTCTAAATTCTCGACATTTTGAACAATAACTGGGAGTGAAGTAAATAATGTTGATGGAAAACATTTACGTTAATAAGTGAGGAACCAAAGTTAAAATGATATCAATTTGTGACTGAAGATAATATTATGATAACACACACATATATGCACCTGTGCAAACACATGCTCTGTATCCAAGAATATCAAGTTGCTCTGATGCTGTCTAATGAGATGCATGCACACACATACACTCTTTTTGCAATTACTTGATTGTAAAATACTACTACCAGAGATAACTTTTCATGTGCACAGTGAATATTTACTGTAAAGCACTTTCACACAATGCATTATCCTCATGTGAGTGTCACAGCAATCCTGTTATATAGCCAGGTGAAAAGAAACCAGGCTTAGGAAGGGAAGATATTTGCCCAAAGTCCCCCAACTAGGGAGTGGCAGAACTGGGAGTGGAAGCCAGTATTCTGCACTCCCATTACAACATGCTGCATTGTTCCAGATATCGCAAATGGCAGCCGGGCCAAAACTCATCAGTCAGAGTGCTGACAAATCTTGTAGG